GCTTGAGCTCTAGGATGCATAGGGCTAGCTAGCTGCAGTTACAGGTTGTGCTAGCAACTAACCACAGAGTTTAAAGTAAATAATCGTGTAACGGAAACGTAAAGGCAAAATGAAGGCTTATAAAAAATATTCACAAGTATCATAAGGACATTTTGTAGATTCAAGTTGCGGACAACATGGCTTCACTCAGAATAGCTGTTGGCTTTAAAATGTTGTGAAAAATTACTTCTATTTTATTAAACTGAGGTTGTTCAAATACAAATTTGCATCAAGAGCCTTCCTTTAAAAGATCGGAACAACGTATTTAACTCATTATATTCTCGAATTTGATATATAGCCATCCATTGTCCTAAAGCAGCAATCTGGAGTTTTCCCCTTTCCAGGAATGATGTATGACGTTTTCTCAGATATTCATAAAAAGTGAGTCTTAAACTGCAATGTGATATAATGTATAGTCAACACGTCAATTTCCTTTTGCTAAGCTCGCCCCCGTCCTGTAGAGCCCCATGCAACTTTTGACTGTAATCATGGAAGTAAAGGACAAAAGGGAGGATTCGCCTGGAAAAGTCTCCGGTTTATCACGGGGTCACAAACAACCATCTCACTCACGCCTGGGGACAATTTAAAGCAGTCCAAACTTTTCAGATGAGGGCCAAAAACTTTAATGTTTTTGCAGACCAGAACCTTTCTCAATGGAAAAAAATACTAGATTATTTCATTAAATAAAAAAATAATAAAATGTTTATGAAACATAAACATGTTAAAATGAAGCACTCCAGAGGGCCACAAATGGCTCGTGAACCACACTTTGGACGTGCCTGATTTTGAGTCTTTAATCAAAATGTTTTTGATCTGTTGGAGAACGTTGGAGTGAACATGCAGTTTTATCATTGTTCAATAATTAGGGTCCAGGATTGATGAATCATTAACTTTCAACCCTTTAGGTGGAATTTTTGCAACATTTTCTATGTTATAGCTTTAGCAGCTGAATATCAGATTATATGACGCTTTGCCAACAAAGTAGTTTAGTCTTCTTGCAGCCTGCAGCAGAGATGAAACCCAGATGCAATTCTTATTTTGTTACATTTGTTCACATCATGCAAATTAGTCCAAGTTAGATTCAATAATGTTTCAATGGATAATTTCAAAGCATTTTATGGGTAAAGGTTTTGCAGACTTGCATGAAAAGATGAAAAACTTGAAAGAAATCTCTTTTAGGATTCACTTTGATGTGAACTTTTTAAGTAATCTGTTACAGAAAAAGGAGCTTATTTTTAGTTTGGGCCTAAAAGAACTGGAGGGTTTGAGGATGATCCTGAACTATCTGGTCCAGTTTTCAGGTCTTCAGGTGTTTAAACTTGTCATTTCTTTTCAAACGTGCATCAAATGGATTTTTCTTTAAAAAAAATTCAATTCAATTCAATTCAAAAATACTTTATTAATCCCAGAGGGAAAATGATTGAGAAAGTTAGAAACAAAGTTTCTTCTTCCATTACAACAAATTATTAGCTCATTTTACATTTTTAATCATTACAATTTACTTCTATTAACCCCGTAGCATTCCAGCATCCCACCCACGGAACAAAACCCCATTGTGTTAATTAAACATGGAAATTAAAGGGGTTAACTATTCTATCAACTATTCTGTTGAATGATATCTCACATGCACACAACCACACAATAAAGTAGGATTTCCTTGGCTGACTTGACACTGAATGACCAAATTCATCTTTTAAATGAGCACATTAGTCAAAAACAAAGAGGGAAACTCAGTGAAGATCCTCATATTCACTAAAGATTAATGACAAGGCTCAGGATGATGATGGAGGTAGCGAGGAAAGAGAAGGAAGCAGATAAGAATGAAAAATGGGAAAAAGAGAGGAAAGGACAAAAAGGAACCCTTAGTGGTTTGACCTAATCTCTGTGTCCTAAACGGAGGTCCTATCTAATGTCACGGTGAGGCTCGGACCTTCCACTGGACCTCTAGAGCTGGTTCTGTTCTGCTGCTGTGGCGTTTCTCAGGGATGACCACAGTTCATCACACTCTGCCCCTCTTGCATGAAGGAGTAAAAACCGGTGAAACCCATCCCACAGGAATTTTTTTAACTCCTGTTCTTGTCATTCCATCATGCTAATTTCAAAAAGAGGAACTGATTAAACCAACTATCAATTAATCGTTCCCCATCGTTCACTTACATCATTTCAATGTAAAAAAGCCTGACTTGCAAAAAAACAAACTTATTTTTTTTTATTACTTTGAATAATTATCTGAAAGGTCAGAGGTCACAATACATTTAGCAAAACCTAAAATGAAGCAGCCTGAAGTCACCCGTGGCTATTCCTGTCAGCCCTGTAGAGGGCAGCAATGTCTGTAGTGCCAGAATTAATTGCACAAACGTTTTCATCTTTTCTAAAATATTTTAATGTCTTTCTTATCTTTTATTGGGTTCTGACTCTGCATAGAGATAAAATCAGATAATTAATTTTTAAATGATCAAAGGTGACTTTAGGGACAATTCCCCCATAATGCATTAAAAACTGTTTTTATTTATTTTTTTTTTTTTTGGGGGGGGTTTATTTGTTCTGCCTCCTGCTTAGGGTAACTGAAAAGTCTGGTGAGTCTAGCAGTGGTTCCTATTTGGCCCTGCAGGTTGTTGAGTTCCATATTTAATCTGACACATTTAATATGAACCAGCTTGCCCCTTTTTTTAATCCCTGTGACTTGTGGGACTTCAGGACTTCAGGACTGGCAGAAGGATACGAGTCCACCGTGTTTACCAACCAGATTGGGACAGAGCTACTCTTTCACCACAGGGTCCTGATTCACAATGGCCCATGTGTAAGCATGGAAAACAAGTGGAAATCAAACCTCCTCCATAAATAAATGAAAGGTCAACGAATACGTCAGAGCCTCAAGACAACCCTCGTCCATAAATTTGTGGTCCATCATCACTGCCTGAACTATTGTAGCTATTTATGTTTTGAACTCTGTGAACTTCACTCACTCAATGCTGTGAGGCTGAGCTATAAGTGACTTGCAGTAAAACAACCACTAACACCCGTTTAATCAATACATTTGCAGTAGTTTCTTGTAGACATTAATGCCTTTTAAGTCCATGTAAGTTACTTCCAGGTTCTGCGAAGAAGAAGAAGAAGAAGAAGAAGAAGAAGAAGAAGAAGAAGAAGAAGAAGAAGAAGAAGAAGAAGAAGAAGAAGAAGAAGAAGAAGAAGAAGAAGAAGAAGAAGAAGAAGAAGAAGAAGAAGAAGAAGAAGAAGAAGAAGAAGAAGAAGAAGAAGAAGAAGAAGAAGAAGAAGAAGAAGAAGAAGAAGAAGAAGAAGAAGAAGAAGAAGAAGAAGAAGAAGAAGAAGAAGAAGAGATCATTTCTATAGCGCCTCTCAAGATAAAAATCACGAGGCGCTTCACAAAAACAAAAAATGTAAAAATATAAAAAATAATTTAGAAAATGGTTAAAAATATATTTAAAATGAGCAAAAATAGACCGTTGTGATTAAAAATGTAAAGAAAGCGAGAGAGTGAATAGGAAAGAGGGAAATCAGTGGATCCTCAGGAAGGGGGCTTTGGTCACTGGACCTCAGGGACCTGCTGGGGGTGTAGGGACTAAGAAGATCACCAATGTAAGATGGTGCTTGTCCATGTAACGCCCTATAAACCAGAACCAGGATCTTGAAATGAACCCTGAAGTTGACTGGCAGCCAGTGAAGCTGGAGGAGAAGCGGGGTGATGTGTGTGTGTTTGGAGGACTTGGTCAGAAGCCGAGCACAGGCATTCTGAACCACCTGTAGACGGTTCAGGGAGGTTTTGCTCAGACACGTGAAAATAGAGTTGCTGTAGTCTAAGCGTGAGGAGATGAAGGTGTGGATAACTGTCTCAAGTTCAGAGTGGGACAGAATGGGACTCAGCTTAGCAATGTTCCCGAGAAGGAAGAAGGAAGAGCGAACAAGAGAACTGACATGAGAATCCAGGGTGAGAGCTGGGTCAAAGGTCACACCAAAATTCCTGACAGAGGGTTTGGTGTGAGAAGCAAGCTGACCAAAAGAGTCTCTGACTTTGGGAACCAGCTTGTCTGGGGCACAGATGAGGATCTCAGTCTTATCTTCATTCAGCTGTAGAAAGCTCCCAGCCATCCAGGTTTTGATATATGTGTCGATGGTCTAAGCAGGTGTGTAACAGCTGCAGCTTTGACATCTCATGGGGCTTAAAGGAGATGTACAGTTGGATGTCATGTGCGTAAAGATGGTAGGAGATTCCTTTGAAGGAACTCAGGATGTGCTGAAGAGGAATCAGATAGAGGAGGAAGAGCAGAGGCCCCAGCACAGAACCTTGTGGGACACCATGGGTAAGAGAGGTGGTAGAGGACCTAAACTTGGAGACGGCCACAGAACAGGAATGCCCAGAAAGGTAAGAGGAGAACCACTCCAGAGCAGTTCCTGATAGGCCTACCCAGTTTCTCAGCCTCTCAAGTAGCAGGTGATGGTCAACAGTGTCAAAGGCTGCAGTCAGGTCCAACAGGACCAGAACAGAACAGCCCCCTGCATCACTGTGAGTCAGAAGGTCATTAGAGACCCTAAGAAGAGCTGTTTCAGTAGAATGAGCTCTACGAAAACCTGACTGGCAGCTATCATAGATGTTATGTTCATCAAGAGCAGCTATGAGTTGTTTAGCCACAACCTTTTCCAAGATCTTGGAGATGAACAGAAGTTTAGAGATGGGTCTGAAGCTGCTATGGAGAGAGGGGTCAAGACTCTGTTTTTTAAGAAGCGGGTGGATTACAGCATTCTTAAAGTAAGCAGGGACCTGACCAGAGACCAGAGAAGCATTAATTATAGAGAACACGCTGGGACTGATGGACTGAAAAGCACTTTTAAACAAAGATGAGGGTAAGATGTCGAGGGGGCATGCAGAGGTCTTCAAAGAGTTAACTGGTTTGGTTAACTCAGGCAAAGAAACAGGAGCAAAGCCTGGGCCTGGTTGGAGTCGGGAGAGGCAGCGATAAAGCTGAGGGAGGGATGCTAGATCTAACCTTATTGACTTTGTCCACAAAGAAAGACAGAAAGTTCTCACAGTCTGCAACAGAGTGGATGGAGGCTGTAGGAGAAGCAGGAGAGACGATGCTGCTGATGGACCTTGGGGTTCCCTTTGCTCTGGGACACCAGGTTGTAAAAATAGCAAACCCTGGCGACTCTGACTGCAGAGTTAAAGGATGTCAGAAGATCCTTTAGGTTTAGCAGATGGACGTGCAGATGGGTTTTCTTCCACAAGCGCTCAATTTTTCTGCATTGGCGCTTCAGGCTACGAAGGTTGCCATTAAACCAGGGAGTAGGGTTCACTGCAGGAACTGATCTGGTTCTGACAGGACAGATGTTGTCCAGAATGGAGAGGTAGTGCTCGTTAAACTGAGAAGTCAAGGAATCTGGGTTGTTATCAGAAGAACAGGGTGGATCAAAAGCAGCAGAAAAATTTCTAGCTGTGCTCTCATTGAGAAAACGAGAACTAACCAGACGGCGAGCAGGAGGTGGGGACGCAGAAACTGACAAGTTAAAGAAAATGCAACGGTGATCTGAAATATAAATGTCCTCAGGACAAACACTGTCAGCATTTAGACCCAGGGTAAAAACAAGGTCTAGAGTGGTGCCCCCTGGTGTGTGTGGGGTCAGAAACATGCTGGGTAAAGCTGAAGGAGTCCATAAGGCTGGAGAAATTCATGGCAAAGTGGTCCGAGGGATCATCAACGTTGATGTTAAAGTCACCAACAATGATGCCAACAATAAAAGCAAAATCCTTTTATTCTTATTCTGGTGCTTTTTATTGACGATCGATGAATTGAAAAAGCTAACTGCTAGCCTTTATTGCTGTAAAGCTGGTAGAGACCTCCCACTAGTGTACCCACCTGAACCACAGAAATGTTAAGTGTAGTTTCTTGTCAGCAGAGGGCAAGTGAGCGCTGTCCAGTGTGAAGTTGTTGAAGAACCACTGGAACCAGTTTGAGAGCAAAAAAAAAAAGCGTTAAAAATGTAAAAGATAAAGGGTTAAAATCTCTTTAGTGTTTCTTCAAATAAGCTGCATGCACAAGTCAACCTAAATCAAGGTGGCTGACAAACCTAAATTAACATAACAAACTTAAAAAGTGGTCTGTCTTAGTCAGTTTATAGACTGAGCTAAACTTTAAAGTGTAGCTAATCACAGCATGCTAACCCCGGCTTCACACTGAAAGCATCAGCGGCGCGGAACGGCGCTGTTTCAAATAGAATCTGTTATATTCTTTGGAGTGTCTCAAACCTGCAGCGGTGTGACAATTTCCAGGCATGTCCCAGAAGCGGCACGCTGCTGAAGATAGGATCAGGCTCTATTTTTCCATGAGCCGCTGCTGGGACACATCAATTTCCACAGTTAACATAGGACTAGACAGGAAATCAGAATATAAATAAAAGTACTGCAGCAATGCAATTTCATGTATATTATGAAGCTTATGTGTGACCCAACGGCTCATTTACTTACTGCATTGTTCCAGACCAGAAGTGCAGCAGTGTGTTTTCATGGCTTTATTACTGGCAGTGGAGAGGAACAACATCATGTATGACATCAAACAGTGATGACAACGTGATTTCCTTCTTTTTGGTTTAATGGCAGATTGCATAAACAAATCATGACCTGAAGTCTTGAGGGATTTTGAGATCTCACGAGTCCAGTGAAGAGCACAGCGAGGAAGCCTCGCTGCTGCCAAGACTCTCCCATTGTGAAAAGAACCGCTTTGAAGTTCACGAGTAAACCATTCCACTGCCGTTTCGCGCCGCTGATGCTTCCAGTGTGAAACCGGGGTGGGCAAGGCAAGGCAGGGCAGCTTTATTTATACAGCACATTTCATACACAGAGGCAATTCAATGTGCTTTCCATTAGCAAGAAGAACATTAAAATCAATGTGACAGAAAATACAATTTAAAAATTAGAAAGAAACAAAGTTAAAGGGTGAGCAAATACGATGCAGAAGGTGCTGCATAAGAACATTTATTCAAAGACTGATGAAAACATGAATGTTTTCTATTTTGATTTCAATGTTTCTAGAGTTGGGGCACATTTGAGGTTGGTGAAGCTGATTTCGTCTGTGTGCTGCATAGTAGCTAAAAGCAGCTTCACCCTGTTTGGTTCTGACCTGGGTTCTAAAAGCTTACTGCCTCCTAAGGATCTCAGTGGCCTGCTGGGCTTATATACTTGACGGATATCTGACATGTATTCTGGCCCCATGCCGTTGAGTGATTTATAAACTAGTAGAAGCACTTTGAAATCAACTCTGTAGTTTACTGGTAACCAGCGTAGGGATTTAAGAACAGGAGTGATGTGCTCGGTTCTCTTGGTTCTTGTGAAGACTCTAGTGGCGGCATTCTGAATAAGCTGCAGTTGCTTCCCAGCTTTTTTGGGAAGACAAGTCAAAAGACCATTGCAATAGTCCAGCCTGCTGTAGATGAATGAGTTTCTCTAGGTCTTGTCTGGACATGAGACCTCTGAGTTGTGCTATTTGATGCAGATGATAAAATGCTGATCTAGTTACAGCCATAATGTAACCAGTGAAGCTCAGGTCTGAATCAGTTATGACACCGCAATTTCTGACCTGGGTCTTTGTCTTTATTCCTCTTCATTCCTCAAAGAAAGTGTGTGCATGGTTTTGCAAAACTGCAAGTGATTGCATTATAACTTTTCACCAAAGAATCTAAACTCCTTAAATTTTAACGCTGTGGTGTGAAAAGCAGTGAAGAAAATGCATTCCTCCGAGGTTTTTAATTTTGGGGTTTTAGCTAATGCTAGCTAGTTGCTGCTGCATTCTTTCCACATCCTGCAAAAATAAACTCAAATTACATTGTTTTGCTATATTTTGTTGTGTTGTCTTTGTCACAGTAGACATTTAAACCTTCAAGTGCAGAAAAGCACAGGTATAACGTTGGCTGCATTCCAATTCTGTCACTGGGTTGTTCTGTAGAACGGCTAACGAGCAGAACTTTTTCTAAAAGGAATCTATCCCTTGCCAATTTTCCGTACTCTCCGAAGTGAAAATATCAGATATAAGAAATTCTTAGATCATGCTCAACTCCATCATTCCTCATTTTTCTTTGGGGGAATTCCACAAAATAAGTCTTGAAAGCAACAGAGTTTTCCATTCAATTTGATGTGAAACATTTTCCATGGCTTTTTTATTTTCACCTTTTGCGTTGCGCTCTTTGTCCTCATACCCTGAGCCACTCCAGCCTTCAGCACAAGAACGATCTCCTTTTAATACCACTGATCTCTAAGAGCATCTATTTGCACTCACGGCATTGCTGTTTGCATTAACATAAATTGTCCTGCAATACCATTTCAATCCTATCCATTTTCCCTTTTGGAGCATCACATTCGAATTCAGATGAAACTCATTCTCTAACCTTCTCCTGTAATGTGTAGAGCTCTAAACCACATTTATCTTCTATATTGTTGTTGCTTATGCCTCTAAAGGATGAGCAGGTGATCCCTGCATTTAGATTCCCTGCAGCATGTGCTGAGAAGCAGCTTTATTCCTCAAAATAAGACCTGCTCTTCTTAAGAGAGACACTATTACATATATTTTTCTCTAAATGCCCCGATTTGATGCAGACCTGTCTCTATTTATTTGCAGTAGCCGATCTAACAGCAGCGCAGCCTGGGAGGCAGCCAGCCCGTCCCGGAGAGGTACTGTAAGCACAAGTTTTCCTCTGCTTGTTTTAGAAAGACGTCGACATGTGGCCCACATCTGCATTTGGAGCAGAATACAGCCTGACTGACACCTTTTTATAAATGTCAGTATTTGTGTTACCTGTGTGCAAAAATGGTTGACAATAAATCATCAGATGTGCTGAGGTTCTTTTTTTTTTACCCTATTTAGCAATGAGGCATTTCGAATACATAGCTGCAGCCTTGTCATGTCAGAAGTAAGATAAATGGAGAGGGGGCATGAAAGGCACATTTTAGTACTTTAATAATAAAAGCTTTAAATAGATCCTTCACTTGTATTTTTATTAAATTTGCAGTGGTCTCTAGGAATGAATCCCCTGTAAGTCGTCTTCTGAGCAAAAAAGCTCCGGTGCGCCTGTTTGTGGATGTAGAAGTCTGCTCGAGGACAAAGCAGCTTCAGACGGCATGATTTGTCCTGTCTAGCTCTGTGTTAATTGCAGAAATTGACACAATCCCATCTCGAGCAGCGACGAGCTGCTTCTGGGACACGGCTGAAAAGTTCTTCGCCGCAGCGACGTTCTGATGCCGTTCCACGCCACTAATGCCTCCAGTGTGGATTCAGTTTTATTTCCTGGTATTCGGACATCTTGTCTCTGATTGGCTGACAGCAACCCAACTCTACCACTGACTCTGTTTCTTCTGCAACGTTGATGTTTTCTCTCCACAGATAACACAAGCCTGCTGGAGATCTGCTGTGTGGTGGAGTTGCTAATGCTAACGGTTAGCTTCTACTAGCCAAAAAGTTGTTAGCTGTTTCCTGGATGCTAAACCAACAACAGCCTTCCCCGTCGCGAGTCAACACGGGTGAATCCATGAATGTTAAGTGACATTGTGACATAGATCTGTCAGGCTTTTCAAATCTTAGCGTTTCACCATCCATTTTTTATCAGAAGCTAATGCAGGAAACAGTTGTAGGAGACTATTTTCACATTCAGCCTGCATGTTGAACTCAGAGTGACCAATCATTTACCAAAATAATAAGTTAAAAATGGATTCTCAGTGAAGGACCTCTATTACGTGTGTCCGTTCATTCATTTTTAACCCCAGATTGTCGTATTTATGGTGTCAGTTTCAGTATGTTGCTACTCTTTTCTAAATTTCAGTCAAACGAAGTGGTTTTGTTGCAGAAGTTGTAATGAACGGTTATTATAAATCAAATGTCTACGATTTGTCAGAGGTTTGGAGGCCTAAAATAACTCAGTAATTATACGACTCACTTTGCCACTCAAGAAAAGCTTCTGTTTTATTATTTTTTCATCCACCACCAGAGTACCCAATGTGTACAATTTTGGATCATGAGGGGAGAGAGAGAAAAAAACTTAAAAATCCTGTCAAATGTTATGTTTTGTTCATCTGCCAAAGTAAAGGTTTGACAAGAAGGAACGCAGTCATTACCACTGGCAAACCCTAACTTTTCACTTGGGCGCTGACGGCTCTGCCGACTGCATCACCACTATCTGATTCCCATCCAGCTGTAGAGGACCCAGACAGACCAGAGCCGGCGCATAAACAAAAACAGCTGAGAAAATCTAAAATAAATTGGGGCATAAAAGCAAATACATGCATGTACGTCCCAAACTAATTCACAAGCACATCTCTGTCAGCTTGCCCTTGCGTCTTCCTCCCCTCCTCGGGTACATATGGTGTCTTTGACACAGCCTGCCCTTTTGCTGCCATGCAGCGCCACATTTAGCTCTGCAACAAGTGCCAGACTGCAGCAAAGCATAGTGAGGAGGTTATTAATGGCCTTCCTTATTTTCGACGACAGTCTGAAAACACTGGTGGCACCATGCAGACCCTGCTTGCTACAAGCTTGTTTTTCATCCCATCTGTGTCCTTGGTCCTAATGGACCCTTGGCTTTTGCCCTGTTAGTTTTGGTCCTAATGCGAGCCAATGGACAGTCTCACCGAGTTGTGTAATAACTAATAACTTTCTGTCATCATTAACTAATGTTTCACACCTCTAGTTCAATTGGTTAAGTCAGTTTTTTATTCCAAATGCCAGATTTTGGTAGACAAGAGATCTAGGTCTACAATTGGCCCAAATAATTTTAAGTCTAGCTAATTCGACATGTTGGGCGGGCTTAGAACCAGAGCTGGGAAAAACTACAAAGATGGCTTCTGCTCAGGAATGGTTTTGGATGATTTAGACTTGGGCTTTCCTTTCAGACATGAGCAGATAGATATTTTAAAGGTCATGTATCATGCAGATTCCACCTTTTAGAACTTTTGACCATGTTTTATTGTTACTTCCTCTTGAAAAATACCCCCAAAGCGTTGTTTTGGCTTCATGCATGTATTTTCCTGTTTGAGCTGCTTTTCTTCAGCTCTGTACATTTTCTCTGAACTGTTGCATGCAGCTAGATGGATTGTTGCTAAATCACTTAATCTCCACAGTTGCAAAAAAGTGATTTCTTTCTTATCTAGTTTGCACTTTAAATAAGAATAATTTAATATGCAAAATGGTTGTATTTTGTCTTCACAACCTCTCAAAAACTGAGGCAGATTGTGTCCATGACTTCACAGATGGCTTGTTAAACCTCTGCCAGTACTGGACTGGGTTTTCAGACGTATTACTTCTCCAAACCAACACTATTCCAACATCTCCGGGAGAGGAGGGACTTGGCAATCACTTATTGGGACATGACAGCATGAACCCGTGATTGTCAGGTCTGCAGCTATTGGGGAATTCACGTCATTTTAACCGGGGACGCCGGGGACATGTCCCCGGCAAAATTTGTGATTGGCAGCTGTGTCCCCCCCACTTTCAAAAACGCCTGCTGATGAGGATTTTTGTTTTACCAGCTCAGATCTTATCCAGGGGTCGGCAACCTATTCCCATCAAAGAGCCATTATTACCCGTTTCCCACAGTAATTCTGGACGGACCTTAATAAGCAGTGACTTAAGTGAAGCAGGCAGGTCGCGCTAGAAAATTTAGTTTAAAAAGACGTCATAAATGTTTTCCCCCGTCATTTTTATTTATAAAATATGAAGTAAAAACTCACAATTTAATTTTCATTCATTTGTCATTAATATGTAGTCTACACCCGTGCGTTAACCATCTTCCAGTAAACGCACAGCATCCAGCCCACCTCTCCAAATGCGTAAAATGTGCATCAGCCGCTAGTTAGGCGCACCATCAGCTGATCAGCCCAGACAAGAGCAGAGCAAATAGAGACAGAATAGAGGATGATTCTGTCTGGATGTGGATGGAGATTACATTTTACAGCAGCCTGATCATCATTTAAATACGTAAACCATCACCTGTCTTCTAGTCCATGCTATCAGCATATATTTTAATTGGTGTGTGTGTGTGTGTGTGTGTGTGTGTGTGTTTTCCACTTCAAACACTGGTCTAACCAACCAGACCAGCGTGTCCAGTAACGTATTAATGTTACAATTAAACAGTTTCCCTTCATGTAGGCTAGGAACATTTCACCTGCCGTGGCCCGACCGCTTCTGCTCCACACGAACTTTGTGCGTGATCAAATGTCTCTACGCGTCATGCGTCTCCATATTAGAGACGGGAACAAGCGCTGTTCAGCCAGTTTCATAATTTCATAAAAAGAACATTTTTCCAAGTGACACATCCCTCAGAGAGACCGGGTTTCCAGACCGCTTCAGTGGGAGGAAATCATTGCATGCACCATGGTTCTGCGCTGCGCTGCGAACCCCTCAGATCTTCAGCTCACTGTCCACCGTGGGCGCTCCGAGCCGCGCTGAACACAGTGTCCAGTATAAAGCTCTGATGTTCTGATGGGAATCTTTTACCTCCGCGATGTGCGTTAACGATTAAAATGTCAGCTCATCCATGTGCATCAGTGTGCGTGGGGGTAATTCTTTCAAACCAAGCAACATCCTTGAGTTCATCTGTCAAAATAAACAGTCAAATGGAAATATATGTAACCTGCCGTTTAACTGTTTTGCCTTCTTGTGAAGATTGTTGCAAAGAGAAACAATTAAACTTGATTAACCCCAGAGCCACCCAGAGCGCATGTGGGAAGGTTCCTCCCACTGAAGCGAGTGTTTTCCAAACCCGGTCTCTCAGAGAGACTTGTCACTTAGAAAATGTTCCCTGATGATGAAACTTTGGCTGAATAGCGCTTGTTCCCGTCTCCAATGTGGCGACACATCCAGGAGCCGTCTGAGGAGAATCCCAGAATCTCACATCGTCTTCAGCTAATAAAGCGCCTATGATTACGCACAAGCGTGACGCGTCAACCCGGTCTCACAGTAAGACCAGGTTGGACCTGTTCAGGTTTACGCAGACAATCTTTACATTTAGAATTGGCATACAGATGTAAAATTAATGCAGTAAAATATAAAGCATTTTATTTAAATATCCATTCATTATTTTACAAACACAGAGCCGCATCAGATGGATGGAAGAGCCGCATGCGGCTCCAGAGCCGCCGACCCCTGTGCTAGCCTACTTTATTGTCCCCAGCAATTTTTAAACCCCACTCAAGTGTATGGTTATTGTCCCCAGCAATTCTGGAAACAAACTGACGCCCTTGGAATTCACACAGGAGGAGGCGGGGTTTCATCAAATCCAAGCATCTAATTTCCAGGTTCAACAAAAAGCTCATGAAAATAACTTCTGTTTAATAAAAAATGACATCTCAATAGTGCCAACAGTAATACTTTATCATACAGTGTGACTATCTTTGCTCTAGAAGGTGTAATATAGCATGATACAGCTCTTTAAAGTCCTTTATTTTGAAAAACAATGTATTTGCTTCTACTTCTCTGATGGTGTATGGTGTATTGCCCCATTGACTAATTTCCATAGTAGGAATATGTCAAGTTGTTAATTGCATTGACTGGTCCAGATGCTGTCCAATTGCGTGAAGACAACCATAGATTCTGCTCCTAAGACTGAGCTCTGTCTGTAGGTTGTGGCTTGCCGGCTAATCTTTAGTGCAAATGCAACAGAATATCATCCACTTTTTAATCTCCAACCTTAGTTTTTTCTTTTCTCTCTTAATCTGCTCTACATTTACTCTCTTCCACTACCCTTTTTGCCCTCTTCTATATTTCTCTCAGAGACTCGGGGTGCTGACTGTCACTTCACCTTGCTGTGGATTTTGACACTTATTTGAAGCATGCCTCTTCTCTTTTGCAGGGCCTGAGTTGCACATGAATGTCATCACAGCCCGTCCTGCAGAGCTCAGCTCAGTCACAAGCCAAATGATCAAGACTGATCACAACGACAGATTTTTATGTGCTTAAATTACAGCAGCTATATTCAAGGTTTGCAGGGGAATATTGCATTTTTTTTACCAGCATTATAGCTATCCATTCACATCACAGCAACGCCATATCTCCAGGACTCTATGTTACAGATTTCATGTTCATTGTATTATTTAGACCTATTGTTTAGATGCTAATGTGTGGGTGGTAACATAGATGTGATGCCAGTGGACAAACGGAAATACTACCCCACATTAGAAATGCTACAGACACGTGTAGTGCGACTTTAGACCTATTGTTTAGATGCTAATGTGTGGTTTGTGTTGGACTTATTTATTGTCAGGATGACACAATCTTTGTGAATATCTCTAAATGAAAACACAAGTATGAACAAAATCTTAAATGTTAGCATTAATGCTAATTGTGTTGTATTTACATTCAAATGGTGACAACCCAGCCTGTAGGGTCTAAATATTAAGAATAACATAACGCACATGCGAAGAGCTGAAGCTCTGAAAGTAATGATGTGAAGCTACTATTATTTAAAGTAGAGTAGAACTATAATTGAAAACATTTACAAACCTATTTGACCCATTAGTTGTTGCCCAGTTATTCTGAGGACCAGTATGGCAAGTATGCATGTGGCAGAGGAGTTTGTTTTTCCACCTATTGCTACTGCCACAAATTTCCATCTGACACACAAACATTAATTCAGCAAGACTGTGTTTATATTTTTTCATATTATAGCCACCAGGCCTGTAGCTGCACAGTCAGCCCATTAGGTTACAATTTAGTAGCGCTTGTCTGGGGAATAACAAAGGATGGCAGCTTCAGTCTAAACCTATCGCAGCCCTCTAGACATCATAATACAGTTGGACATAAACATGCTGTAACCCATTATGGACTGGTTGCTTTTCTTCGCTGCTGCACAGAAGCAAATGAATAGTGACTTTGTATTTTTCTGGAAATGAACACTAAAGAAACTCGCTATATGTATAAAAAATGAATAAACTAAATACCAGAGTTAAAATCTTGAAGCTACAAGATGGTTCGTTGATGAATTCTTTGCTAAGAAAACAAAAATGCTTAATTTTAATATATTTTATCTTATTTTTAGTTTGAAAAGAAAAATACACTTTCAAAATAATAGCATAAGTTAAAATATGATAAATATTCTTAAATATGACCCAAATTTCATTGATTTGAGTGAAAAAAAACTGCCAATGGGGAAGGCAAATTTGCTGAGCTAGAATCCTTAAAGTAACACTAAGCAGTTTCCTGCTCCTCCGCTCTACTGGTTGAAAGTGTAACTACAACAGTTGTACACAACCCTGCTCTAACATGCTGTAGCTAGCGCTAACAACAAGCTAACTAATACTAAAATAAACCACGAAGTAAAAAGATCCACAGCGTTGGACAAAAATGATTACTTACAAATTCAGTAGCAACAAAGCCAGGTCACCATCAATCCGTGATTTTGTAGCCTCCTTTAGCTCCCTCACACTAGCTCTTTGCATCCTACCCAAATACATTACTCTCTTATTTTTACTTCCAGGCTTCGCCATGATGCCAACAAAAAAAGCAAACTTCTTTTTCTTCTTCTTGTGCTTTTTATTAACAAATGGCTAACTGAAAAAGTTAACAGCTAGCATAACAGCTGTCGTAAAGCAGGTAAAGAGCCCCCCCATGGAGAACCTACCCGCTCCATGAAACTGTTGTTAAGAACTTAGGATCATATTTAAGAATACTTATCTTATCTGAGGATTTGTTTAGACTAATAATGAAATCTAATGTCTAAAAATGAGGCATTTTAAAAACTTTTTCTAAGTCAGTTTTTGCAGTGTAACACTGACTATTTGACTTTAAATTAAAATACCCAGTAGAAATGACAATGATTTGTTGTTTTATTGAGAAATTAGTATTACCTGAGGAAGGAAAATGTGTACAGAGTAACACAAATGGGATTTAAAAATGTACTAAAAAGATAAGTTCCCAGTAGTTGATAAACAACAAAACCAATGTGCGTTGCATTTACTTATCGATGAAAACCACTTGGTAAAATATGACCTTTTGGGGGTAGTGTCAACCTGCAAAATGAAATACACATAGAGGAGAGAAACTTTGTTTTTAAAAATGCTACTCTGTAGGATGAGCTCACTTCATGTCCTGCAGGAAGTTTGGAAAAAAAATAACAAAAAATAAAAAATACTCCACATACATCATAACATCTAGCAGCATCCATTACATTTCATGTTGATACATAGCATAAAATATTTAGAAAAATAAATGTAACAATTTATCCCAAGTATTTAAAACATATGGCAGAGAAAATAAAGAAAACTATTCTGAAGCACCAACAAAAAATTGTGACAAATACTGCAAATTAAAAATGGATATTTGTTCTTATGTGCCATGAAAATGTTTGATTTCTATAGCAAATCAGTACAAGGATGTTTGCTTAAATTGTCTTGTTTAAAAGGCAAGACTACGGCACAAAAACACCAAATGCATCAGCCCTATTTACAGTTTGTGAAATTCCCATTAATGAACATGAGGGGAAGTAGCTTTGATTGGTTTGTTCCCGGGTTTATTCCGTCATGGGAATGACCTTGAGGTGTGATAGACAGAGCCTGAAAATTTCAGTCACTGAGTTTGACAATTTGGCTTTCCAAAGCTTCAAGGGCTCTTCTTTTATGTTTGGCAAAAATGTTCTCCAAGCTCCTCAAATCACAGCGAAGACCCGGAACGCCTTCCCTCCAGGAGGGTTCTGAAGGCTGAAAGGGAAAGAGACAGGAATAAGAGCAAGATCCAAAACATGGCAGATAGGACTCAAGCAGAACGAGGGTGAAGCCCACTGAGAAAACAGATTACATCCCTTTTTTATTTGAAGGCAAATAAATGAAACTCGTCCAACAAAGACAGACTGTGGTAACGTTCTACAGGCAGAATGACAAACAGTCTACGTTCAGAATGAGGAACCAGACCTTACAAAACTAGATGAGCATCCATATTTCTGCATCATTTATTGGAGTGTCTCAGCACTTGGCAATAAAGGAAAAAGTTAACTTCACATTTCCCCCTTTTTAATACAAAGTAGGTCAAAGATAAACCAAAGAAAACGGCCCAGTCATTGGACTTGGTCAAAATTAAGCGTTACCGACAATTGCATTGGTGATCTGTCAATATGAAACTTAAAAATCCATTTTGTTTCATATCTGTAAATGCATAATTTCCAAGGAGAAATACAAAAATTAACCAATTTTCCTGCATGTAAACTCACCATCACTAAGTTTTAAAGCAGCAATCTGGAGATTTCTCTGTTTCGGGAATTATATGTGATTTTATTTTTTCCATAAAATTTCTAAACTTTAATTTTGGATGTAAAAAAAGTATACTGGTAATTACATTTAACTCTGATGACTGAAAATCAGAAAAAATAATGGAAATTTTCCAGCCCTAAAAATACAGAGAAGCTACATCAAAAATGTGCACATACGCTGATGATGATGTGTTCTACTTACAAACTCATTTCCAAGCTGAAGAGCTTTATCTTGTCTTATATCAGATATTTTATCATGTGTCTAGTATAAAACACATTTTTTTCTGTTGTTTTTTGTTTACTAACATTTGAAAATGAAAGCTATGTTCCTTAGCAGAATTATGATGTACAAGTTTTTATTTAAAAACATTCAACCTAAAAAAAACATCTGGATAAAAATTCTTATTTCTTTCTCAAAGTGTTAGTAGAAATTAGTTTAATCACAGTTGAAAAAGCTAATTCTATATTAGAAAATGCAAGAAATGAGCATTTTATTCAGTGCCCTAGGAACTAGAAGTGAGTCACATCACTGCTGGATTTGGAGGTTGGAGGATTTGGAGTCTCGCCTTGGATTGGATAAGAGCAACATGACTCTACCCCTGACTAGCAATTCAATTCAATTCAAAGATACTTTATTAATCCCAGAGGGAAATTGGAGTTTCAGTACACACAATTCTGAGATGAGACATACATAGGCAAAGACACATGACAAGAATTGGTGACTGTGGTCATTCACAACCCGAGATGCACTACCTTAATAGAGAACAGAGGGGTTACATGAGGAATGGATCAGGTGGAGGGAAAAAAGGCACTTCAGAGTTACCCTCCACAGGGAGGGAAACTTTGCTATGCAAAAACACCTCAGACAGAAATGCAACAGACTTCAGACATTACACAACATAAGTGTCCTAGGTGGGGTGGTAGGGTTTTGGGACTCTCCACACGTCAGCAGCAGCAGCTGCGATAAGCAGCACTCTTCACCTCAGTCTGGAAAGGGGTGGGAGGTCGTTGGGTTTACAGACAATGAACAATGAACGTTTTATCTCCAGAAATTACAAAAGCCCGAATGAGTTCAGCCTTGCAGTGAAGTTGCTAATGCTAACGGTTAGCTTCTACTAACTGAGACGTTCTCTGCTGTTTCCTGGACGCTAAACCAGCAACAGCTTCCCTGTTGTGAGTCAAGACACTAGTGAGACTTAGATCTGTCAGGCTTTTCAAATCCTAGAGTTTCATTGTTTATTTTCTGTCAGAAGCAAATGCAAGAGGTGGATGTAGGAGACTATTTTCATGTTCAGCCTGCATGAAAATCTCAGAGTGACTGATTATAATCGGATATGATGATTAAAAATATGGTTTTTCAGTGTTCAACACCTTTAAAAAGAAAGTCAGAGAACCTTCAAAAAAAGTCATAAATAGCATTGGAGTGATTGAATGTAATTATGTATTCAGGAAACCCATTGTAAATCCTAATTATTGTATAACCCTAACCCTTGACTCAATTTAATCAGCATTTATTTGAAGAGCAAGTGACTCCCAAATCAATTTTTTTTTCTGATAAACTAAATAAATATGTGTCTAATCATGCTACAGACTCGTGTAGTCAATAGTTTAGCACTGTAGTGCATTTTAGTTAAAATGTTAGTTTTCTGCCTAAAACTTTCAGTGTTGTCAGGTAAAAACTCTGCACATAATTTGAATTTTAATCTGCCATTGCTATTGGCTAAAAGGTGCCCTAGGACGATAGCTGGTACCATACGATGTCACAATGTCATTGTGAGCCTGTGTGTGTGAATTTGTTAGCGGCTCCACCCTCTCGGTCTTCTAGGCAACATCATTTGTTGCATTTTTCAAACAGGAAGTGGGAGTGGAGCAATACTCTGGTAGGGGATGACTTGCTCTTTAATTCATTCACTTGCAGCCGTTTCCTGATCAGTAAAGCCGTTCGCTGCCATCGTTTCTCATCGTTTTTACTGTTTTTTTAAGAGTCACAGAACGTTGCATGCTAGGATGATGTCAACGCCAAAACTACCAAAACAAAGAGGAGACTCACCTCTTACATAAGGAAGAATCCGCGTGTTTCGAGCGTTATCAGTTCTTTCATAATCTGTTGTCGCATTGTGATCGGCAGAAGCTTTTCCGGTTCACGCCTCACTTTTTTTTACAGCAACGGCCCAAAACGATCTCCTAACACATGGATTTTCTGCTTCCTGATCACATGACATGTGACATATGCGGATGAAGATCGTCTTTAGAGCTGAGATGTTTGTTCTCGCGGTCCGGGGGTTCGTTCCGACACCCACACAGTAAAAAGATGCAAATGACGACTTTAGTCTTTATTGGCAGTGGACGGCTGGATTTAAAATGACGACTTTAGTTGTCAATGGCAGTGAATGAGTTAAGCACTGATGTCCCTTACAGAAAAATAGAGTTTTACATTCATGGAATAGCCGAGCAGCGTGGGACTTGTGTCTATTTTGGGGTAGTAGTGTTAGTGTTTCCTCAATATCAATATCATTATGATTAGTTCCAAAAAGGCAAACCATTCCCTGAGCTACACAGCGACACACTTGTCTTCTCAAGACTAATTGCAAAGCAATTAATTATTTTTAACTAGAGGCATACTAATCACCCTCTGAGGCACATTGCATGAGAGGAGTAATAAACTGTCTGCGTCTTGAAAATATTGGAGTCACAAGGAGGAAAGAAAAAGTTCTCAACTGCTTACTCTTATCACAATATACCAACAGAATCACAGAAACCTAATTATTTTAAGATTATGCATGTCCTACCTCTCTGAGAAAATGGCATTTTGGTATGAGGCGGGGTAGTATTTCCGTTTGTCCACTGGCATCACATCTATGTAACCACCCACGTCGTTCCTGATGACTCCAGCGTGGACAGCTGCTCGACATATACTGGACTTCTACGGGAGCACGTCGGAGGAAAGGTTGATTCGTACAGAATTCTTTCCCCACAAATTTTGCTTGAAAAACAAGAACTTACATCAGAGTACACTGTAGTACCAATTACTCTGGATATGTGAGGGTTCTCTTCTATACAATTTTTTGGGCAGTATAACCTGAAAAGACAACAATTTGTGATTTATACCAGCGATAATACATTAACAAGTAGACTAACATGTGGGATCCTTTTCTGATCGCAGATCAAGATTTACAATTCTCCAATAACGTTCCAGTTTTACCTTGCTGTATGAGGTCAGCTTTTCCACCTCCTAAAGTGTCTGATTTGTTTGGACATTTTTTGCCTAACAGCATCCATTCATCCATCAATTTTCTTCTGCTTATCTGCGGTCAGGTCACGGAGACAGCAGCCTCAGCAGAGAGACCCAGACTTCCCTCTCCCCAGGCACCTGGGCCAGCTCCTCTGGGGGAAACCCAAGATGTTCCCTGGCCAGCCGAGAAACACAGTCCCTCCAGCATGTCCTGGGTCTTCTATTAGGTCTCCTCCCCATTGGAGGTGCCTGGAAAATCTCAATAGGTAGATGTCCAGCAGGCATCCTGATCAGGCGCCAAAGCCACCTCAACCAGCCTCTTTCTGTGTGGAGGAGCAGCGGCTCTACTCTGAGCCCCTCCCAAATGACCAAGCTTCTCAGCTTATCTCTTAAAAACTCCTCCGCTTGGAGCACAACATCATCCCTGACCTGTAGAAAGCATTCTACCATTTTCCAACTCAAGACCATGGTCTCGGATTTAGAAGAGCTGATTCTCACCCCGGCTGCTTCACACTTGGCTGCAAACCGCTCCAGCAAAAGCTGTATCACGATCTGATGAAACCAACAGGACCACATCATCTGCAAAGAGCAGATACCTAATCATTATGGCCACCAAAATGGATCCCCTCACCACCTTGGCTGCACTCCTTAAAAGTTATGTGTGACAAAGAGCCGCTTCGGCGGAGTCCAACTCTCACCAGAAATGAGCCGGAAATGTGGACCAAGCTCTGGCAAAGGTCATACAGAGACCTAACAGCCCATGTCAAAGAGCCTGGCACCGCATTCTCCTGAAGTACCCTCCTACAGGGTCATCCAAGGGATGCAGTCAAACACCTTTTTCAAATCCACAAAACACATGTAGATTGGTTGGGCAAACTCCCACGCACCCTCCAGGACCCCTTAAGGGTATAGAGCTGGTCCAGTGTTCCACGGCCAGGACAATAACCACATTGATCCTCCTTCCTCCAAAGTTTGATTATCAAAAAAAAAAAAAAATATATATATATATATATATATATATATATATATATATATATATATACAGCTAGTAATTAGCTGTATTATGCTAAGTGTGCTAATATCGCTAACGTTTTGCAACAACTGCTGTTGAGCTAATCATGGTGTAAATCACCAGCTCACAAGCTAAAACTAAAAAAATTACTGAACCAAATAAACACACATTTAACCATACTTTTTTTCATGAATACACACAAAGTGTTCAGGCTCAGAGTGTGTAACATCATAAGTAGTCCGCGCTGCTCTTTTCATAATCTTTCTACTAGCTAGAATGTGACAATGATAGGATCTCTCCGCTTTGACAGATCATCACCATGTTCAAACCCTTTCACAGATTAATTTTAGTCTCCTCACTGAGGTCATTCTAGCACCTATTAGTGATTATATGATATCTACCATAGAAACACATTCTAAAATGGTCAAAACATCTTGTTAAAGTTCTTACCTTGGACAGTGTCTTGCCAGCATTTCATATGGACAAAGTTGTGCAACTGTGGTTTCACACGTAATTGCTTTTACTGTAAAATAAACACAGTGATCCTTATAATTTGTTGTTTTCTTTATAAATGACTGTATGAAACATATCACAAGCACTACGTTCTTGGACTAACCTGCTACTCTGGAAACCGTAAAGGAATTAGCACTTTTATATTTTCTGTGAACAAACAAACAAAAACATCAGATTTCCTTCTTTCCTTCCACTGTTTAATGACTTTAAAATAGTTTCAGCCACCTATAAATTCATTCCAATCTTGCCTCTAAACGTCTTACCCAGCTGACTCCACCCCATTCTTGTTGGATCTGATGAAAAAGTCCTTCCTGCCTTGTCTTGTCACATCCAGCCACCCTCCATCGTTATCGATGACACCGGCATGTAGGCCAGCCCTACACACACTCGATTGCTGCAAAGAAAGACGTTTCATAGACATCATGCACATTTTGCTGACACTGCAGTTAAGAAAGTAGCATTTGCTCTTTTTCCCAGTTTGACACATAGCTGCAACTCTGCATGGTACTGACTAACCACTGTAGGAATACACTACATCATTTGGATTATGTCATTCTCAGAGGACACATAAGCATCAGCAATAAAGTGTCCAATGAAACTACAAAATTGGGATGAAAAATAAGCACCACAGACGAGAACTTTAAAGCTCACCTCACAATGGCTTAAAGACAAGTGCAGTTATTTTTTTCTCAAAGTTCCTACAGTAAATTTATAACTTTCACCACTAAAGTGCTCTCCTCTGCATATCTTTTCAAGGTTGAAAGTAAACAGACAGCAGTGAAGAAATGTGTTTTTTTGGGGAGGGGGCTAATGTCATGACCCTTGCAGGTTGGGTAGGGTTTGGTCGAATCTGTTATTACTTATAATATATGATAACCTAGTAATACAGACCAACCTGCAGAGAAAATTTGCTCTGCAGGTTGGTCTAAACTCCATTGTAGCCTCAGTAGGTCTACAACATACAAAGCAACAGTTTTGTGTCTTGCCAGTCACAGCACTCTTATGATTTTATGCACTCTGTTTTAGTGGGCTGCCCTGCGATGGACTGGCAACCTGCCTGGGGTGCACACTGCTTTCATGCGTGGAGACAGCTGGAGATAGGCACCAGCCCCCCCACAACCCTGCGAGGATAAGCGGGTAAAAATAATGGATGGATGGATGGATGGATGGGTGTTTTAGTGGGCTAAGCACTGTATCTGCAAAAAACTACAAAGATGCCGTCATGTTGTTTGTTGCTCTGATTGGTCCTAGCACTGTTCAATTGTGTGCAGAGACAACTGTAGATTCGCCCCTAAGATTAGATTCTTTCAATGGGTTGTGGCCAGACCATATATTTATGTAGACAGGATGGCTTGCTAGGCGAGATGTATTGCTTTTTATGAATCCATTTGAGCTCCCAAAGTAAATGGGGGCTTGTCTGGGATTCACACTCAAAACTTTTTGAACCTTATGAAAGACAATCTTGTAGATGGGTTTGCACACTAATGTTTAGCCATCACTCACTTGACTGTGACTAATCTGAGAGACACAATTGTGGGATAATAAGCAATATGCAATGCCATATTGCATATGCAATGTAATATGCAATATGGTCACGTACAAAACAAGATTAACAAATGGCCAGGTCACATGGGGCAAAAATGCAGGTGCATACATTTTGCATGAGTCCTTTGTAAGTTTTCCTGTGTCACAAATTGCTTTAATGCTGGCTGAATATGTTAGTAAGTTAAACCATTTCCAAAGTTATCTCACATGTACTTTCTGAGCCACGCAAGCTAAGTTTGCAATGGATCACAGACATTCATGATGGCTCACAAATGGTTTTTTTACATGTCCAAATTACTTGTGCCAGAAGGAGAACCTGCAACTCACATGAGTAAAATGAAAACAATCCTCACACACGTTTGGGAGATTTCCGGATACTTCTTCACCAAAACGGTTTGCAATTTGTCAGTTGCACCAACCATTATTCCAACTTTAAATTTGCCTGCCAACTTGTTTACCCACCATTTCATAGTACACTGTCCCAACCACTTTTCCTGTTGCATCCAGGCATCCAGCTGGGCACTCGTACCTGTTGATTAACGCATAAATGTCCATTGTTACAAATACTGTATACTCTGAGATAATTTGAGGGTGTGTGTATGTCTCTCCATCACTTCACCTGTTACAAGTTGTTCCTTTACATTGATCTCGTAGCTTGGTGTCACAGGTTACAAGTTGAGCTGAAACACATAAACATAGAAGCCTCAGAGAGAGTGTTCTTACAGGAAACAGCATATAAGAACCAGCAGCTCTGATGCGGATCACTGGCTTCAAAAAGGCGATGCTGTGCAAAGCCCAGGGGAAGGTATTGTTACAGCACTTCCAGAACCGAAGACAAACAAATAATTCTGCAGTGAGGTTCAGGGTGGTCAGCAAATACTGGAGGAAATGTCTCATCTTGCACTCACAGGCTCCTCGCACTGCAGCGAGGAAGCCATTTAAAAACCACAGTGAGCCCCTCTCACCCCTCCTCAGCCAGCCAAAAACAAACACACACTCAGGGGATCCTGCTAAAATAAAGTTCCCCTCCCTCCCCTAAAGAGCAACGTGCAATATTGTGTGGAGTTCAGAGACTGTCAGTACTGATCAGAGAGATGACAAATAAAAGCTGTCGTACATTCTGGCAATCTAAGGAGAAAAATGGGGGAAACATGGTTCTGTCACAGTCTGTTTTCTTTCTTTTATTATTTTTTTAATAATTACCTCATTGACACTAAAGCAGTTAGTCTGAATTTACTTGGTTCTGACCCAGTTCTCAAAGGCAGGTTTATCTGTACAGTACATGTTATACTCTCTGCCAGTCCCATACCTAAAACCATACTCTGCACCCCCCAATTTAGATGAAACTACATGCCGAATGAACACTTAAACGACAGCTTACACATCTGCTGTGTGTTGACCACTTCATTCTTCTGCATGTCCTCTCTGGGGGGCTTGGTGGTGGCCGGGACTGGGGCAGGGAGGCTGGGAGGTTCCGGCTTGGAGGCCTGGGGCCAGGGCTTCGTACCGCGAGGGGCCTCTGGCTCAATAAAGTTGTTTTCTTCTGTTTCCTCTTGCAGACGGTTGGATCTGTCATCTTCAACTAAGGATACAAAAACAGGGAATGACAGGCTTGTTTCACCAGGCCTTTTTTAAACCCTCTGGGTTTGTGTAGCACTAGCATACCTTTGTAGCAAAGGTTGTCCTTGCATCCTCCTCCATAGCTTGGAGGGCAGGCAGAACACGGGGATCCATGTTTGTAAGGTGCGTGACCCCACCAGTTCCCCCTGTTAAGGCAGCATAACATGCAAGTTTTACATGTAAAGACGCAAAACACAAACTACTAATTTTCTTGAAGTGGACACACGCTCATTATTTTAATCAATCTGTTGTGGTGTCTAGTGTAAATGAATGCCTTTTGAGTCTATTGCCGCTTTCATAAGACACGCCGTGCCAGCAAATCAGTGTAATACTGCCACCATGGTGTAACTCATTAAAGCGCCGAGGCAGCATGACGATGTGGGAACTGTGTGACATTTGTGCCATCATGCTTGGTGGTAATGTTGCCACAAAACCAGACTTGTAAATGATTACGCCTTGACGCAACATAAGGTGGTGTCATGATCACGTGTGGAATTGCTGCCTAACTCCGGCCGGCAACTGTATTAAGAATTAAAGTAAACATTTATTTAGCGTTTGTTGACAGATTCAGCTGAGATGGTAAACTGGTCTGCTCTGGGAGCTTCTCTCCATTAGAGCAGAAGCGCAGAGCAGTAGACAGTTCACGGGGTCTGTGGAGGACAGACACCGTTAAGACCGGCTTGTCAACAAAACTTCAATCTCAATAAACAGCAAGTTATGTTCAATCCTAAAGAATGTCTGTAGCAACGCAGAGACCATTCCCATACTCCCTTTATAACGCCACTGTGTAATCTTTTGTAAAAAGGATGCAATTGCGCCATGACGCGATAGTACAGGATCTGCTCGGGTGCAAGATCGGCTCGGGGTCCTTCGACTGCAGATGATGTCAAAGTACGGCAAACCCACTCGGACATTATACACTACACATCTATACTGTTGGAAAGACTTTAGCAGTTTTGTTATTAAAATAATGTTTCTTAAGACGTAAGTTTGTGTTTATAATGGTATTTGTAAAATAAAACACTATATTTTATTCATAATGTTGAACTCCTCTTTGAGCACATCCCTTGAAGGATCATAGGTATTAGCAACACCTGTGAAACTGTATTCGCAGGAAAGAAGTGTGTCCCGTTTATTGAAGTATTTTGTGTTTAGAGTTTTTGACGTCTTGTTCGTGCGTAGTTCAGTTACGCTCATAGCTGCTAGCCAAAACTCTGGAGTTAAAAGTTTTCTGGCTTTACTAAAATACCTATCTGTACTTATTTGATTGATGATAGTTTTACTTTCTATTAGACTCCAAATGTAATCATTTGGCACGTTTCTAATTCATAATTTGTAATAATGTAATCGGTGATATTAGCATTAGCATTCCTATGGGTTTTTCCATGTATATTAGCATTGCGCTAACCACTCGCTGCCAAATTGCAGCCTTTGCGATTAGAAAATCTCCTTTTGTCACATCGCAATTTAATTGCACATGCAGTTAATCGTTCAGCCCTAATATACATGCAGTTCTATGCTAAAAGTGTATTTTCAAAGAGGTAATGATGGATTTCTTTGTAAAAGTTGTCCATCTTTCCAACAGAAAGATTTGCCTGGACCAACGTAACCTGATAACAACGTAACCTGATAACAACGTAACGTGATTACGTAATTCCGTAAGGTTCATGGTCAGACAGCCAATCAACTACTTAGACGTCATCGGTAGTCGACGGACCCCGAGCCAATTTTGCACCCGAGCAGATCTTGTACCGACACCGCCACTTATGAATGACGAAAGGCTCCCAGATGCCAGATCAGCATTGCGGCAAACTGGTACTGGAAATAAAAAGTTTTTGTGCTTCTTTTTCAGGAGGTAGAAGTTAGTTGGAGATACAGTTTAATGGCAGTGACACACATGCTTACTTTGGTGAGTAATTGCAGACAAGATACACAGCTTTGGTCCAAATCTGGCCCCAAACATTCATGTCGTAGCACAAGTTGATGGCACAGCCAATTCGGCTGCTGGTGGCCCAAACCAGCTGGAAAAGAAGACAAGTGTGAATCACAAACCATGAATGTGACTCGTATTAGTGAAATTGACAAAGAAAATCCTATTCTTGGTGTGGTTACCTGGGTGTAATGTGTGCAAACTGGGCCGGAGCATCTGAACGGACAGTAGGGGTTACACTCTTGGGGGTAAGGGAAGGAGTAATCCTTGACTTCATCATACCAGGCCTGAACGTGGGACGTAGGAGGGCGATAGCTGGTGACATCGGGAAGCAGACATTCAACAACGTATCATACTACACTTTTTTAGCTGCGTGTTGGTTCGTGTAGTTTCTCGAGGTTACTCGCTGCATTCTGCTAGCTGTAATCCCAAAAGAAATTAGCAAAGGATTATTTTGACTGGTATTTTTATGCATTTCTTTAATAAATTTGGTTCTATGTAGTCAACTTGGGATATTTAGAACACTGAATAAAACATAAACCCCCATAAAAGTTGCACGGAAACATCCAGCGGTCTCTGCTTTGTAACAAAGGCTGCTGATCTGGGACCAGGTGTTGGCGAGTAATCTGGCTGAAATCAGACATCATCTTGATGGTGAGGAGAATTGATGGGATGTGGAATAAAAAGTCTTTAATGTGAAGCTCAGGTGTTTTCATTAAGATGAAGGGCAGAGTTTCCTCTGATCTTCACTAAGTGGCAGCTGTGTAACATGTCGTCCTTGATGTTTACAGAAACAAAAGTTTTATGAATTAGAGTATAAGCATTAGAGTGTATAGTATGTCTTAAATGTTTCCTGCTGGGCTGGGTGTTGGTTTTGCTACTTATTCTGCATTGCACCAAATCTCTTCTGCTCCTGCAGGCAGCAGGTCCACAGGAGATCGAGCCCATGTTAATGTCTTGACCTAGGCCCATCCAGTGCTCACAATAGTCCCTCCCGGCCACAACTCCAGGTAAGGCCCCAGTAACCTTGACGGCACTATGAAAGGTCTCTACCCTCCACCTAAACCCAAGGATAATTAGGGTTAGGGTTAGGGTTGGGGAACTCCCTCATCACAGCAAGGCTAAGTCACTTTGGACATTTGGTCAGGTTGCCCCCATGGGTGTCTCATTGGAGAGGTGTTCTAGACATGTAAACCTGTAGGAGACTGTTGGACTGTCACATTTCTAGGCTTGTTTGGGAAGCCTTGAGGTCCCACTGTTGAGATGGTGTACATGGCTAGGGAGAGGTCAATCTGAGCTTCCCTGCTAAGGCTGCTAGCTCAATGGCCTGATTAAGCAGAAGACCAACGCCTGATTCATGCTTCTCCGTCAGCTTCGCAAGGATTGACGGAAGCGTTTTGCTCTCATACTTCTCTGTCTCCTGGGGAGTGTTGCAAAGCAATTCCCCGGCAGGACAACAGAGGGTGTAGCGCTGTTCTGTGGTATCCTGTCATGTATCGGTCCAAGATAGTGTGTTTATATTGTGTTTTTTGTATATAAGAGACTTTTTAACACTGACAAATTTGCCTCTCATCCTCCTCCACCTCTTCATGCGCTCACCACCTCTGAACCCACGTTTCCTGTCATTTCCATCCACAAATAAAACGCTTGCTGCGCATCTTTTCACTCCTCCAGTCACGGGGGGAATAAAACGTTCATATTTTAGAGTTTTTTTCGCGAGGTATTCTTCAAGCTGCTCCGTGTCTGCCGCTAGTTATCCTCGACTCTCTTTATGTTTTTGAGGGCGCAATGGCGGCAGTGTAGACAACAGCGGCGTCCTGACCAATCACAAGCTTGCGTTCTCCGTCTCGATGGAAAGATGTTTAAAAAAGTGGGCTCGACTCCATACGTACTTGAGTGCCTGCCGGGGCCCTATGCAAGGACGGTTAGTGGCGTTGCGTGTCTCCGCACTGACGCAGACGGAGAAGCATGAATCCGCCTTAAATCCTTTGCAGTCGTCTCAGCTGTATCTACTAAAGTAATCAAGCTACCAATTATGCATAGTACTTAACATGGCTAGACCATCTGCTGTTACCTTGCCCTTGCTCCGCCGTTGCTTAGGAACCTGCATTCGTACCTTCCTGCTTCATTTCTCAGTTGGCTTATTTTTACTAAATCATTTTGGATAATACGTCCCTTCTGGGTCCTTCACAACCAAGCGGTATACACATAGGTACAAATCAGTCTTTTGGAACATTATGAGGGATGTAAAACAGAAGAACGCTCATTTTTTTAAAGAATGGAAATGCAATGCGTGTTTTGGAGATCATTTTAGCATCAAAAATAAAACTTTTCAATTGGTAAAAAAGCACCTAATTTCAGAGCTCAGTCTACAATCACATCTAGTTTTCTGAATATTTACCTTCCCCAGTGTGCACCCAGGTTCTGTCCGATCTGTGGGAGTAAGCTGGCAGGCCCGTGCTCCCACAGGCAGGTCTCTGCCCACTCCTCGGCTGAACGCTCCAATTCTGTGTCCCATGACTGTGCAGGTAGGAAAATAAAGTGTTAGCTTTCTGGATTCAACTGGATGCAAAGTTGTGGTTTACTTTAAAAAGCCAGTCACTTAGCTGCTCAATGAGTTGAAAGTAGGGATGGACAATATATCGGCATGAATATCAGTATAGGCCGATCATTTTTTTACATATCGGTATCGGTTCGATAAATAAAACCGGGCTGATATTAACAATCTCGTCTCCATTTGTTTGCCTGTTTCAGACTCTGTGTGTGTGTGTGTGTGTGTGTGGGGGGGGGGGGGGGGGGGGGGAGTGTAATTGTTTAGTCATGTGAACAGTGAATGAAATCATCTCAGAACCATAAATGTGTGTGTTGCGTATACATAATAACAGAATTTGAGCTCTTTTAATTTCCATTCCATACAAAATCTGCTGATTTCAGAAGCATTTATGTCAGTATATTGGTTTAGGCAAATATCGGTTATCGGCTATAACAGTGACCTTAATATCGGATATCGGTATCGGCCCAAAAACTTCATATAGGTGCATCACTAGTAGAAAGTATGACATTGTCAGACTAAAAAGCTGCTAACGGACTCTGTTCTGTGGTCAGAGAAGCGACAGATGGTGGGAAACCAATGAAACACAATCACACATGTTTGAGTTTCTCACCTCAAACCAACAAGAGTTATCACCATAAAGAGCTCTGACTTTCTCTCAACCAGATCGGCCTTGATGAGTTTTTCTCCCTTAAATTTTTGGTTACATTCTTTAAAGGGAAGCTAAGAATGTTTTTCTTGTGTAATACTTTCCATATGCTGTTTCACTTTACTGCTCTCTGACTTGCATTCTTAAGTCCAGTTGGATACTAAGGAATCATATATCTTTATAGAGGTCTTCTGGAAATCCAACATGCTTTTCCTTACAGCTGCTCCACATTCGAATATAAAGATGTTGGAATAACACAGCTGTAAGTTCCCTGAAGGACGCCGTGTTCCTGTAATTTAAACATGGTTTCGTTCAACTTCGGTGTTGGATGACCTAACAGGTTTCTAGGAAATTCAAATTGTGTGGCATGCATGGGTGTGTGGTGGAGTAAAACATCAGTAAAAGGTGTCAAACGTTTCTTCCTCTTCTCATGCCGAGCAGACACTCAAATGATTTCGAGGCCACCTCCTCCGTCATTGTTCTCATCGTTTCAAACGTTCCACCACAAATAAGTGCTGATCTCTGCCCTGAAACACGAGCTAGACCATCAACCTTTTAGCAAGGCTGCAAGTGAACTCCTGTCTCTTCAGCTACTCGTTACTGAACGGATGTTTGTTTAAATCAACAAGACCATGTGATTTTTCCCAGATGTGAAGCAAAATCACATTTTATTACCAAATCTTGCAGAAATGTTACATAACTGAGCTCTAGCACATCTGTGAAGACAGTCTGGACTTTGACGTTTTAGGCGGTACAATAATGGAAGGTTGAAGCTACGATAAGCAGCTTTTAGCTGAAACCATGATGGCCTTGAAACTGGTACGTTTCCCTGGGTACAAATCTTTGACTTCATCCAAGGGTCTGACTTAACAGACTGGGGACATAAAGGACAAGTTTCTAGACTGTAAATAAAATGAGTTAATTGGGCAATTAATGACAACACATTAGCTGCATTTATTGAACAGGATGTTTGACAAATACCGTAATAGAGAGCATAAGTCACACCCGTCTACTTCTGATTCACGGGTCCCCCTATTGTCAAAAAAATATGAATGCGTCTATGGAGCGCTAAGTTATTTTCTGGTCCTGTTTGATGTGTCGTGGATTTAACATATGATGTCTGTGAATTTTATACAAACATTAATTTAATTGTTTATTTTCCACTGGTGACGAAATTTACTTGGAAAGACGTAGTGGACTGCATCAGACTGCAAACAGCATTCATGAAAGAGTTCCTGTTTCGAAATATTTACGAGGGCTCTTGTGACCCCTAAGTTTTAAATACTAGATAGGAAATTTTTGATCAAAATCAGTCACCTGAAACATTTCAGTTTAGTTTCAAAATGCTCAGAATTATCAATTACCAATAAATTGTGACTCTAACAACAGAAAATATCGTATGTTTTGGTATGTCAGCATAGCTACAAGTCAGTAGAAATAGAGGATTTTAGCATTTATATCCTACAGGACTGATGAGCTAGCAGCTAGTCTGAGCTCAGCTAACGCCCTAGGGTCCCCCAGGCGGGGGACCCTGTGACGTTAGTCCCTTAACAGGCCCAAAACAACCCTCACACTACAGAAGAAATAGTAATAATTCCCATCAAATGAATCAGCAAACCCAGCACTACAAGGCCATCTAAACTATTTTTACCATTAAATACCATTTTTACCATTTTTTGAGGAATAGGCTTCAAAATAGGCCTAGGGCTTAAGGGGGTAAAACAATCCCCAAAATGTCATAGTAGATTATGTTTATGCTTATGTATTTAGCAGACACTTTTGCCCAAAGCGACTTACAAGTGATAATCGGCATGTTGCTCTTGAGGCTAACAACAACAATAACAACAACTTGACATCAATCATGGAGAGGAGGGAACAAAGGAGCGGACAGTAGAGAGGGGGACGGGTGCAGGGAGGGTGCTAGTTTAGAAGATGCTCTCTGAAGAGCAGGGTCTTCAGGAGTTTCTTGAAAATTGAAAAGGAAGCCCCTGTTCTGGTAATTATTTTATAATATAGATTATGCAATCTTTCTTTTGTAAACTACTAAACAACATTAATTAGTCAATTGCATGTTGTTTTGGCAGAAATATTAAGACATTACTTTGATGCCTGGATGCACAGGAAGTGCTACATATTGATGCCGCTGGTGAAATGTACCCTTGTAAATAACCAGGCAATTACATGTGATTGATATGCATGTAGCCAAGTCCCCATTTATGTAAAAAACAGTCATTTAGTTCTAAAGCACAGCAGCTTTAATGCGTTGAAAACCTTTATCGTTACTTCAGTACAATTCAGTTGTGTTTGTTAAATAAATCTATAAAGTACTGGCTGAAGCTGTTAAAATTTACTTTTTGTACCATAAATACTTGCTTTGAGGTAGGCATGAACCAAAGATGTGTAAAGGAGCCAACCAGAGTGCCAGGTGGGACTGGCATTTTCAGCGGTTGCATCTGTACAGTGTACAGTCGGCTTGTCAAGCTGCTGTTGTTTGCACAGTTACCCCAAAAGCAGAGGCCTCATAACCACAAACCACCCCACCCACCACCCACTCTGACCGCACGACTGCAGGCCTGTAAAGAAAAACACCTTCTTAGCTAACGTCTTTCAGCAGTCTGCACACAGCATTGTTTATTTCGCTTAACACTTCATTTGTGGTCTGGTTTCATTTTATTTCTCTCTTGTTCATCTGGTTGCATTCAAAGGGAGCATGGGGTACTTCCTCTGCAAGTATACATTTCCTGCTAATAATCATTGGTGCATAGTGAGAAAATCTGAGAGGCAGGGGAAAGTAAAGCAAAGCAAACAGCAGAAGAGGTGAACAAGTGCACAAGGGTTTATTCAATGAACCCAAAAGGAATCATAATAATAAAATAAGAGTTATACTGTAGGAGATTAATATTAGGTTTTCTGAATCACCATATAAGTACAAAGATAGTATCATGGATTGCTTCTGTGGGCACATTTAAGCAAGGAGGAACTATTTGTTTCCTAATCTAGTTAGTACATATGATAAACCAACACTTGTTCACCTTAAAATCAGGATCTTGTGGGCTGTGACTGCTGGGGTTGGGGTTAGGGTTACTTCTCATTTAGAGAAATGGCAAACCAAAAAGATTTAGTGACAGAGCTTCACTGATTAGGCTTTTTCAAAGGCCGACTGTGATGTTTAGATATCAAGGCACCTCAATACCAGTTCACAAGGGAGAAGTCTTTGTTCTTGGTTTGTAAATGCTTTAATAATCATGTACATAATCCATTTTTTTAAAGGAAAGTTGCCCATCATGTAGCTCTTGAACAAGGATGGTTGAGAGGTTCTGATCTACGTTTACATTTTTTGAAGTCAGTGACTGAAGCTCTGGTTACATTTTATCCTGAAACTAACCCGGATAAAAAAAATAAAACAGAAGTCCCTGACAAAGCAGAATCAAGAAGTCATCATTTTCAGTAAATATGACAAAAGTTGGCTAAATATTGCAGCCATTATTTTTGAAATCCAAAGTCTGTGTACATGGGATGTGAGGCTGAAACGTACCAGCTCACAATAATGGTGTCAAGCATCAAACAGCTAATTACAAAAAGGGTTCATCTGGAGGCAAACGAGAGATTTTAGGCATGAAACATAAAGGTGCATGAAGTAAGAATGACATCTTGTGGTCACATTTGCGTACTGCAGTCCACGTTTCAAAACAAACTAGTCCGCTCTGAGCAACTGCTGCTAGTTACGGATCAGCACCAGAGGATTCTAGATGAAGAGTGAAGACGAGTCATACACAGTAAGGTGATGAGTAGATAAAGACATTTCACTGTGTTGTTGAGTTTTTGGAACCGACTATTTGCTTCTAATTCACCATTAGCATTGTTAGCTCAACGTTAGCCTCTAGCCTTCTTTACACGATATTGGAGTAAAACAAAAAGATGTCGTGGCTTCTTAGGGGTACAAGAAATAACTTCTGGGTCACTCCTGTTTACTGGCTACGGTTCCTTTAACAACTCGGGAGCTTTTTGCTTGCCAATGTCGAATTACAAACGCTGGCACAGACTTGGCAACCCTGCAGGTTCTCTAACCAAGAAGTATGGAGGCCGGACTAATTGGCTTTTTGAAAAGGAGAACTGGCAACCCTCCAGTCTGCTGAGAAGGAAAGCTGTTTCAATGTAACCTTCATTCCAACATGATTGTTTGTGATTAACTCTCACTCATTGCACCTTTAAACTACTGGAGCCAGCCACTAGGGGGATGACTGTTTCAAAATCAACTCATGAGTTTGGTCAAATGCACACCAGAGTTTTGACTTTGGGACATGTGGGTTACAAAACACCAGAAAGGTGGTTTTGAAAATTTGTTCCCAATATCATGTTTATTATATTTGATTTAAAAGCGTGATTTGAGTCATTATTCGCCTGTTTGTTTAACTTCAGTATTAAACTCAGTGACTCTGCTATTGGGATCAGTTTGGAGTGTCCTGTGGCACCCTCCTGTGGAGGCTTTCTAGGCCCAAGCAGCCCACCAAAACCAGAGCCAGTTTTATTACAGATCCATGTTTCTATGGTCAAACCTTCTGGATTTAGTTTATTTGTTATCTCATTTACTCACATGAGTCTGATCTATCTAAAAAATACATTTGAGTGCATGGACAACCTGGACACTGAAAGACCAACAGAGCTTTCTCATAAATCACTAACATTACCACCACCTCGGTGCTGCATTCGGGCCAGCAAAGCAAAGCCAAGCCAAACACTCAGGAAGGTGGGTTTTTTTTCTCTCAAGATGCCATCTGTTTGTCTTCAAGGCCTTCAAACTCGGACACGGTTCTGTTTCTACCTGTGGGTCAACATCTGAGAGGCAGAACTGCTCGTGCCCCACACCAAAGAGACTTGGATGGCTGCAGAGTGTGAATGCTTATTCAGGGAAATTTTTGGGGGGCCTCTGTGTTGGATAATGACAGAATGGGAACAGAGCCACGGGGATAAGGAAGAGGGAGGCACTGTGAGAGGGCAAGAAAAGGAAGCAGATGAGGAGGGGAAGGAGAGGAGGGGATTTGGATAGATGTTATCTCTGAGTCTGACTGCCTCTGCGGGTCACCGGGGTCGTGCTTTAATACAATAGGAGGCAATATTGGAGCTGATGGGGATGTGCGTGTGCTGGAGGATCTGTGTGAGTGCATCTGCATGCATGGGTGTGCATCTGGAGCACAGGCGAGCATGTCTGTGAAGTCTTCCAGCACGCTGAAGCTGTGAAGTTTCTGAAAGGTGACAGCGGTTCAATGCAGGCAGAAGAGAAAAGCAGAAAAATATAGAAGCCCTTTCAAAATAAAAGGCCAAAGAGTCACTGAAAAGGCTTCCTGTGCTTCAATCATTATACATGTGCAGAACTGCAAACAAAGATGACACTTCTCCCTTTTCTTTTTTGCCCCCTGTGCTGTTCTGCAAAACTTTATTTTCTTGTTTTACACATTTATTTCAGCTGATGTTCACTCTGTGCACACCTCTCCAAATTTAACCCTTCTGTGTCCCTGGAGCTAAAAAACAGCTCACTGTAACGGGATACGGTGAAAATGAGCTGCTTACTCAGCAGTTCTCCACATGCATATGTCTAAACCAGAGGTTTACACACACACACACACACACACACACACACACACACACACACACACACACACACACACACACACTTGTACACTATTGACTGGTATTTTGTCGGAACAGAAGAATTCCAACGTCTTGCCAATAATCACATTTCCTCAACCACCCCCCACCCTCACAGCTTTGAGATTTGTTTGATTTTATCCTTTGGCCATCACGTGTACGTGTACGTGCGCTGCCAGATTGCTTTTTCACAGTGCAATTAGAGCACAGCACCAGACCTTGTTTTACCAGCTGTCTCACCCCCGCTGAAAAATCACACACACACACACACACACACACACACACACACACACACACACACACACACACACACACACACACATGCACGCACGCACACACACACACACACACACACACGCACGCACGCACGCGCGCGCACACACACACACACACTATCACTTTACTGCTTTGCACACCTGGAACTTTCCCAAATAAGCTACAAATGTAAGAAAAGATTGACCACAAGAGATCAGACCACTTCAGACTGTGATGAGAAATAGAACAAAAGTAGTATTATTCTCTACTAAGGGAAAATAAGCAGTTCCTGCTGGGGGCGGTTGTTGCACTGTGTAATTGTGCAATTGAGAGGTTGAGCTTGGGGTACCTTGTGTGTGTGTGTGTGTGTGTGTGTGTGTGTGTGTGTGTGTGTGTGTGTGTGTGTGTGTGTGTGTATGTGTGTGTGTGTGTGTGTGTGTGCAGCAGGGTGGTATTTGTGCTCAGAGACAAGTGTGAGCAAAAGGCGATCACCCTCAAACACTTACCATGTGCTCCATATTGGAGGCGGGGGGGTAGACCTGTCCACGGAGCTTGTTGTGAAGGTCCAAGATGAGCTGAGCATCACTGTCCGTGATGGCCCTCCTCCCCCTCTGCTTGGCCTTCCACCAGTCCCCATCCTCATCCAGGTACTTTTCCAAAATCTGCTCCCAGCCGGTGGAGTTGGGAGGCATCACCATGGAGGTGGTGGTGTGGAGCAGCAGGAGCACGGATGCACCTCTCAGCCACTGGAATCCTCGCTCCATCCTTAGGAGATGCTGCAGATGAAGAATAGTGGAAAAGCTCTCGAGCTCAAGTAGGAGGGAAGCCTAGTGCCAGCGCAGATGCTTTTCTTAGTCGGAGCTGGCAAAGAGAGGAGGAGAGAGAAAACAGATTAATCAGAAGGATCTGAATAAGTTTTTTAACCAGATTTGCTGAATAATTTGTGTCAATATTGAAATTTGTAAGGGCAGACACATGGAGGGTTGGTGCTCTGCCATGAATAGTGGGTTCACTGAGGGCAAACTGGCAGTCAGCTGACTGGATTATAGAAAAAAATCTATTTTGAGAATTTCATAACCTTTCCTCTGAAATCAAATCCAAGCTTTAACAAAAATCATATTATAAGAAAACTGCAAATTAAGGTTCCTACATTTTCCATTTAATGTGCATTGATCATCCAACGTGTGCTCATATAGCCGGCATCTTATGCAAAACATAAACCGAGGGCATATTCTTAAAAAGCAGATACCTTCAGAAAACTAGGACGGAGCCCACTTCTGAAGATCCTGGTGAAAATGTGGCTGAGAGGAAACTTCAGCTGCAGGAAAAAGAAAAACTTGTGCAGTTCTGGTGCAGCAGAGAGAGCAGATGTGGTCTTTTGTCCCGTTTTCCTTCGAGTTTTCAAAGCAGCTCTGCGCACTCCCTTTCCCTTCTTCCAGGAATTTCTGCAAAGCATCACTTATCCACGTTTTATCCTCAACTTGGCTGCTCTTGGAAAAAGCCCTCCCTGACCACGCCCCCTCGTGAAGGTTGGCTCAGCCCTCTGGTGTCGGAGGAGAGCTCCAGTTTTCTCCTCATAAAGTTCATGTCGAGGCCTTTTAGACACAAACAAAAACAAAGTAAAGTATACATTATTTTGTTTGCTCTTCATCATAGTTCGTCCGGAGCAGAAACAAACTGCTCTCCCTTTGACCTCTTCCTTTATTTAAGTGAAATGTTTTGAGGTGCGGAAAGCCAGTACTCATGACGACGACGATGATTACCATCTAAGTTCTTTCAAAGTAATTAATTTTGAGATGTTATAAGGTATTTGTGTATGTTCAGGGGCGATTCTAGACCATTTGGGGCCCTAGGCATGCTTTATGGTCCCCACTGGGCCACCACCACCAGTGTAGTGTAATGCAATCCCGAAGGTGCAGGTTAATTATCATTTAACACCAAATCAAACACATTTGCAAATAAAAAAATAAACACAAAAAGACCTCATGTCCGAAAGCGGTACATTTATTTATGCAATGCAAATTTCTGCACAACAAATTCAAGCAAACTTCTATAAAAAAAATGTATGACTTTTTCAATCTTTACCTTTTTTTTTTACCGTAAAGTAGTGCAACACATTCGTTACAAACAGTTGCCGTGGTAAAAGTACACACTGAAGAGTGTGAACATAAATTCTGGAAACTTCAATATTTTGTGCAGAATTACCATAAAGAGCGTGGTCAAATGTCGAATACATGCAGTATGTTTGGGTCTCTTGTTGTGGGGAATACCACAGGAAGTTTTCTAGATGCAGCTGGAGAAGGACCCCAAAAACATACCTAATAGTTTTGATCATAATAAAACTAGAACAAATAATTAAATTATATTACAAATATTAGTGGTTTAACTTTTCCACAGAAACCAACTTTAAAACTCTGAATGATCACTTTTACTAATAATGCACGTAAATTGGATTTTCCTTTTTTGTGGGATGCTAATAGCAAAATTATTTCCATTGGCTCTGGTTGTGCGTGTGTGTTGTGTGTGTGTGTGTGTGTGTGTGTGTGTGTGTGTGTGTGTGTGTGTGTGTGTGTGTGTGGGTGGGGGTGGGGTGGGGGGGTCGTTGGGGGTTGGGACTCAATCAAACTCTGTGTTTATTCCAGCACCTAAACCTGTCGTCACTTTTTCCTCTCCGCTGTAGCACAGAACAAATTTCATTATGGAAACACTCGGGTTTTGTCTTTTGTCATCTGGAGATTTTCACCAGTTGCCATGGTGCAGATGAAAACATGAGTGGAGTCACTGGTCCCGTGCTTCTGCAACCTCTCCAAAGCAAACTTCTGTTCTTTTTACCTGAAAAACACAATAAAACTCACTGATCCAACCAACATAGTGGGCGTAGGATCTGTAAGTATTCAGGCTGTTTACTGCTGAAGGTTAGGTTATTGTGTTGATGAGTTATTATATTAGTTTGAAGCTGATTTGGGAAAAGTTATAAGGCCAATTATTTGGATTGATTTTGGTCCAAATGGGGAAATCTATTTTTGCCTTGAGTCCAATTTCTACACATATTCTTACCTCTACTAGAGTTGATTAAAAGCCTGATATGAATAAGAATCCGTCATTATTAATTATTTCGCCAGAGAGGTTGAAGGCATAATGTAAATTCACTGTAAAAAATGCTGTTACAACAGCAATAGTAAGAGGCACAGCAAGACTCCGTTTATTATCTTGTAAAATTTACAACAAAAATAAAGACCAGTGTTGAGCTCAGTTTCCTGTGAAACTAGATGTTACCATAGCAGAAATGTTTGTCTTCAGATAGTTGGAGAATGTGTTTGTAAATGTAATCAAAATATTGATTATCAGGATCTGCTGCTTCTGCCCCTGCTGTCTTGTGTTTAATCTCTCCTCGTTAACTGTTAATTTGACTCACCGGCCCCTTGTTACCCTACCCACCTGTTACCCTGATTGCCCTCGTGTATTTAAACCCTCTGTTAATCCTCGTCTTTGTCATGTTCTTGTCTTCCTGTCATGTCATCGTACCTGCCGTTATTCTACTAGAACAGTTCTTTTCACCTGCCAGTCTTCCAGTGCCAGCTCTCCTGTGTTTGGGTCCAACCCAATCAACACCACTTCATGACAGACTTATGTGTGCACACAACATTAGCTTTTCTGTGAACACTGTCAGAGGAAAGTGAAGCTTGTCAGAATTGGAACACTGACAGAGAAATTGAAGATTGTCAGATTTGGAACACTATCAAAGGAAAGTGAAGCTTGTCGAAATTGGAACACTATCAGAGGAAAGTGAAGCTGGTCAGAATTGGAACACTATCAGAGGAAAGTGAAGCTTGTCAGAATTGGAACACTGACAGAGAAAAGTGAAGCTTGTCAGAATTGGAACACTATCAGAGGAAAGTGAAGCTTGTCAGAATTGGAACACTATCAGAGGAAAGTGAAGCTTGTCAGAATTGGAACACTATCAGTGGTAAGTGAAGCTTTTAAGAATTGGAACACTATCAAAGGAAAGTGAAGTTTGCCAGATTTGGAAAACTATCAGAGGAAAGTGAAGTTTGTCAGATTTGGAACACTATCAGAGGAAAGTGAAGCTTGTCAGACATGGAGCACTATCCACTGGAGGTGAAGCTTGTTAGCATCTAAACACTATCAGAAGAAAGTGAAGCTTGTCAGAATTGGAACACTATCAGAGGAAAGTGAAGCTTGTCAGAATTGGAACATTATCAGAGGAAAGTGAAGCTTTTAAGAATTAGAACACTATCAAAGGAAAGTGAAGCTTGTCAGAATTGGAACACTATCAGAGGAAAGTGAAGCTTGTCAGACATGGAGCACTATCCATTGGAGGTGAAGCTTGTTAGAATCTAAACACTATCAGAGGAAAGTGAAGCTTGTCAGATTTGGAAAACTATCAGAGGAAAGTGAAGCTTGTCAGATTTGGAACACTATCAGAGGAAAGTGAAGCTTGTCAGAATTGGAACACTGACAGAGAAAAGTGAAGCTTGTCAGAATTGGAACACTATCAGAGGAAAGTGAAGCTTGTCAGAATTGGAACACTATCAAAGGAAAGTGAAGTTTGCCAGATTTGGAAAACTATCAGAGGAAAGTGAAGTTTGTCAGATTTGGAACACTATCAGAGGAAAGTGAAGCTTGTCAGACATGGAGCACTATCCACTGGAGGTGAAGCTTGTTAGCATCTAAACACTATCAGAGGAAAGTGAAGCTTGTCAGAATTGGAACACTATCAGAGGAAAGTGAAGCTTGTCAGAATTGGAACATTATCAGAGGAAAGTGAAGCTTTTAAGAATTAGAACACTATCAGAGGAAAGTGAAGCTTGTCAGAATTGGAACACTATCAGAGGAAAGTGAAGCTTGTCAGACATGGAGCACTATCCATTGGAGGTGAAGCTTGTTAGAATCTAAACACTATCAGAGGAAAGTGAAGCTTGTCAGATTTGGAACACTATCAGAGGAAAGTGAAGCTTGTCAGATTTGGAACACTATCAGAGGAAAGTGAAGCTTGTCAGAATTGGAACACTATCAGAGGAAAGTGAAGCTTGTCAGACATGGAGCACTATCCACTGGAGGTGAAGCTTGTTAGCATCTAAACACTATCAGAGGAAAGTGAAGCTTGTCAGAATTGGAACACTATCAGAGGAAAGTGAAGCTTGTCAGAATTGGAACATTATCAGAGGAAAGTGAAGCTTTTAAGAATTAGAACACTATCAAAGGAAAGTGAAGCTTGTCAGAATTGGAACACTATCAGAGGAAAGTGAAGCTTGTCAGACATGGAGCACTATCCATTGGAGGTGAAGCTTGTTAGAATCTAAACACTATCAGAGGAAAGTGAAGCTTGTCAGATTTGGAACACTATCAGAGGAAAGTGACGTTTGTCAGAATTGGAACACTATCAGAGGAAAGTGAAGCTTGTCAGATTTGGAACACTATCAGAGGAAAGTGAAGCTTGTCAGACATGGAGCACTATCCAATGGAGGTGAAGCTTGTTAGAATCTAAACACTATCAGAGGAAAGTGAAGCTTGTCAGATTTGGAACACTATCAGAGGAAAGTGAAGCTTGTCAGAATTGGAACACTATCAGAGGAAAGTGAAGCTTGTCAGATTTGGAACACTATCAGAGGAAAGTGACGCTTGTCAGAATTGGAACACTATCAGAGGAAAGTGAAGCGTTTAAGAGTTGGAACACTACCAGAGGAAAGTGAAGCTTGTCAGATTTGGAACACTATCAGACAAAAGTGAAGCTTGTCAGACATGGAGCACTATCCATTGGAGGTGAAGCTTGTTAGAATCTAAACACTATCAGAGGAAAGTGAAGCTTGTCAGATTTGGAACACTATCAGAGGAAAGTGAAGCTTGTCAGAATTGGAACACTATCAGAGGAAAGTGAAGCTTGTCAGATTTGGAACACTATCAGAGGAAAGTGACGCTTGTCAGAATTGGAACACTATCAGAGGAAAGTGAAGCTTGTCAGATTTGGAACACTATCAGAGGAAAGTGACGCTTGTCAGAATTGGAACACTATCAGAGGAAAGTGAAGCGTTTAAGAGTTGGAACACTACCAGAGGAAAGTGAAGCTTGTCAGATTTGGAACACTATCAGACAAAAGTGAAGCTTGTCAGACATGGAGCACTATCCATTGGAGGTGAAGCTTGTTAGAATCTAAACACTATCAGAGGAAAGTGAAGCTTGTCAGATTTGGAACACTATCAGAGGAAAGTGAAGCTTGTCAGAATTTGAACACTATCAGAGGAAAGTGAAGCTTGTCAGAATTGGAACACTATCAGAGGAAAGTGACGCTTGTCAGAATTGGAACACTATCAGAGGAAAGTGAAGCTTGTCAGATTTGGAACACTATCAGAGGAAAGTGACGCTTGTCAGAATTGGAACACTATCAGAGGAAAGTGAAGCTTGTCAGATTTGGAACACTACCAGAGGAAAGTGAAGCTTGTCAGATTTGGAACACTATCAGACAAAAGTGAAGCTTGTCAGACATGGAGCACTAT